TTGATGAAAATTTTCCATAACTTTATGATAGGCTTATGGCGGCACTGAAATGGTCGGAACAGCTGCCAAGCCATGGATGATGTTGAAAGAGATCTCATCGGATGGCAACTGTCAGACAGTGGATGTGGTTTACCCTCACTTTCCGGTCCAGTTATATCTGAATCCATCGCTTTTGAAATACCTTTTGGACCCTTTGCTCGACAATCAGGAGAGAGGGTTCTTCCCATTGAAGTACTGTATGCACGACTTAGGCAGTAGTTATCCCCGTTGTATTGGACACAAAGATGGCAAACAGGAGGACATGGAGGTCGAGGAGAGCGCCAATATGTTGATAATGATGGGCGCGTATGTGAAAGCATCGAAAGATAAACAATTTGCTGCACAACACTATAATATCTCTAAACAGTGGACACAGTATTTGGTGGATCACGGGTTGATCACCGGTAAAGACATTCAGCAAATATAACATAATTTTTATTAAATTATTTTAAAATGTAATATTGGTATTTAATTATTTTAGGCGATGCTCTAACCACTGATGACTTTTTGGGAAAAATTAAAAACTCGACAAACCTTTCGGCGAAAGCTATTGTAGGCATCGGAGCTATGGCTCAGTTGGCGGAAGTGGTCGGCAATCATGACGACCAACAAAAGTATAGACAAATCGCTGAGAAATATGTGACGGAATGGATTCGTATGGGAGAAGACCCCTCTAATAAACACATGAAACTCAGTTATAATGACAACAACACCTGGTTTATGATCTATAATACCAACAAAAGTATAGACAAATCGCTGAGAAATATGTGACGGAATGGATTCGTATGGGAGAAGACCCCTCTAATAAACACTTAAAACTGAGTTATAATGACAACAACACCTGGTTTATGATCTATAACCTCTACGGGGATATTCTATTGGACACCAAATTGGTCCCAGAATCGGTTAACTTAATATTATATATAAATTTATATTTTTATTTCAATTCTTTAACATTTTGTATAAACAGATATACAAACAACAGGATGAGTGGTACATATCGGTGCAAAATAAATACGGCGTTCCCCTAGAGAGTGGTAAACCTCATACAAAGTTTGATTGGGTTATGTTTACGGCCGCCGCCTCTACTAACGCCAAACTCCGACAGTCTATGTTTGATAGGACTGCCCAATGGCTTCGGGAAACGCCAGCCCACGTGCCCTTTTCGGACTGGGCTGACACACAAACTGGTGGTTCCCCGGGATTTGTTAACCGACCGGTTATTGGGGGTGTATTCGCGCCGTTGACTATAAAACACTAATAAAATTACGATAATGTCTAATATTATAATTTATTAAATTAATAAAATTGTTTATTTCGTATTCAATATTTGCAATTCATTTTAAAGTAAGGTTTTTAGTTTATTTCTAATATGTTTTAAGTTTACCTAAATTTAGTTTTATAGTTTTGTTTAAAATAAACGTGATAAGTAAGATTTTAAAAATGTGTTAAATGTTATTTAACAATTGCATACTCTGTGCGTACTGTAAAATAGAGGTACAATAGTCACACCAAACACACGGTGCAATTTTATGAGACCAAATTGTGCATGAGTATTTATTTATTGAATGGTCCATTTAAAAATTAACTGTAAACTTATTTTTAGAAAGGTTGATTAAATAACTAAGGAATGTATTTGGAGAGTGAAATTTGAATACAAATATGACTATTTTTTAAAGGACACTGCACTTTGAAATTTGTCTACCTTGTACAAATATGTAATGATAAGAATTTAGTGCATAAAGTTTATTACAACGTTTTAAAAAAATGTGGTAATACTGTAGTACGGTAATAGTGTACTTTACAGTACAGTGAGAAATGAATTCAATACACTGTAAATCAGGGTTAAAATATCTCATCAGATAAGTGAAAAAATAGTTTATACAAGATTTTTTAAGTGAATAGCATCTGGTTTAGTTTATATCCGTATTAAATCCAGATTGAGTACTGTATGACTGTGTGAAAATGAATTTTAAAAATTCAAAGTTAAAGTAAAATGTTTTGTATATAAGGAATAAATATAAATTTAAATTATACTTTTAATTGTGGTTTAATTTTGACCCTGATAATTATATACAAAATGAATTTCAAATTATCGTTAAGACATTCACTAATTGTTTTCATTTGTATATTCATTGGCGACAAGAGTTGCAGTGCTGTTGACAACGGTATGAATAAAGCAATCATTTTAACAAACATTAAAACCGTAACTAATTTTTAATTCACAATAAATACTTTCAAAGATGTATTACCAGCCGTACCATTAGTGGTAAGGAGTCCATACCTGTCCACATGGATGACCAGTCGCCAGTTGATGGGTGATTGGCCCCGATTCTGGAACGGAAACATTAAAGGTATGGCCGGTTTG